AATGAATAAAAACCATTAAAGTAAATAAAAACTATTATTCATTTATTTCAAAAGTCTAAATAAAGAATAATAATTTTTTTTTAATTTATTTCCTCTTTTACATTTATTTCATTTAATCGTTTATTTGAACCGGGACAGTGCACATTGATGAACACTTTAAAACTAAATAATGCTTACAAGTGTAAATGAGCCGGATTTTAGCTTTGAGCTAATTTCCATCCGTAGCCCCGTCACATACAACATAAGACAACATGACATTTATATACATAGCAAAAATAAATACTTGACATGCAGAAAGAGCATGAGCAGCATACAAGCATTTACCACATGGCAGTACAATGTAGCAGCTATGATATATAAAGTGCAAGATAAGATAAAAGTGCTACATAAAGTGCAAGAGGAGATACCCCTGTGTTAAAGTGCATTTAGCGGTGATTACACGTCTGTTTGTTGCTCAACCATTCTTTAAGTTGTTCTTTAAAACTATTGAGAGTGGGACAATCCCGTATCTCAGTAGGAAGGCTATTCCACAATGAGCTGCCTTTAATGGAGACGACATTTTGTCCAAAAGTTGTCCGTCTATGGTGGACTTCATAGTCTCCTCTGGCTTCTATCCTAGTGCAGCGTCCAGTGTGTTTTTTGTGGATGAATTCCCCTAAGGGTGGGGGGAGCCAGTCCATGTAAACATTTATAAAAAAATCACATACTTTTAAAAGACTTAAAATTGTCAAAACTCAAGAAATTGTGTTTTTCAAGGATGGTGGTATGAATTTGGCTTTCTGTCAAACACCTTGATAGCTCTCTTGTACAGCTGTTCTATGGGTTTCAGGTTTGTGGCACAAGCAAACGAACAATTTGTCAAACAGTATTCAATATGGGATAGAATCATACAGTGGAGGTATGACTTTGCAGCATTGACAGTTAAGAAGGGTCTAATTTGTTTAAAATGTTGCAAGTTTAATTTAACGGTATTGGATACTTTCTTAATATGTTTCTTATAAGTCAAGTTCGAGTCCATTATGACTCCAAGATACTTGAAGTGGGGTACTAGTTCTATTTCGGGGGTTCTAAGGGGGTTTTGTCACCGTTGGAGGGACCAACCTGTACTACGCCGCGCCGTTAAGTTTCAATAGGTTGTCAGAGTTTTAGAGTTTGTGAATGACCAAGGTTTGGACCACGCTACCTTACATCTCTCATAAACAATTTCGCTCCCTACCTTTCGCCCCCTAATTCGCCTCGGTGAAACCTCACAAACCTACCTAATAACCTGAGGTCCTAAAGCTTAAGGTAAACCAGCAAGTCGGGCAATACTTCTACCTAATTTTCCTGCTGCGTCACCTTTCTGGGTCTAAGGCTGTCTCATGGACAAAATTTTTAAGTTACGAGTTTCGATTCCGCGGCGCTAAAACGGCGCTACACCGCAACTTAGCACCGTAAAGAAGTTATTTAACATTTATTTAGATGCGGTTTTAGGTGACCCGTCGGCTTCGTGTGGCTAGGAACAGCCTCTCTGCATACTAGGTTTATTTAAAGGTCTTGACCCTTTGGCCGGTACTCTGTATACGAAAATCTTACCGAAATAAGCCACAATAGAGACTGGTTACGGGGACACCCCACCCCCAAACCTGGTGAAAGCTCGCCTCTTTGTAACAGCTGGTTTAACGACAGAAAAATACGGAAAAATATATCGACTTGATTGCCAACTAAGACATAAGTTCGTGATTAATAAGTAAAATAAAATATAATAATAACATTACACCGGGGTTCAGAAAATCACGTCGTTAGTACCGTAACGCAAATGTTAAAATGTTTTTTTTTTTCATTTTTTTTAATTAGGTATTTTGGATTTTTCACGATTATACTAGAAACCCAATTTAGTAGACTCCACCCGCCGCGAGGGGGACGCCTAGGAAACCGCGGGGTGGCCGTTCCCGCGCCTGGGGGGTCCAGCGCCCCCTTGGTGACTGAAACGCGCCAATATAAGTGTAGTGTTTTAAAGTTTTTCACAGGGAAAGAGTTATCGTTGTAGACACCCAAGTCTCAAGTGCACTATAAGGAGTATACACTGTAAGGGTATGCAACCGTTGTTCGAATTTGTAAATGATAAAGTGAAAATTTCGCCTGTACGTCAAAAAGAGAGTGCAAACAGTTCTGACACAAACGGAGCCGGCCGGCCACGGGTGCCCGTGCTCCACATCTTGTAACCTATCAGTAAGTGTTTATCCAACTAATTTCTGGGACGTGAAGTTCTATTTTAGGTTTAAACCCTTTCCGAGTAACCTCAGCATATAGATTGGTTATTATAGGTTAACCAAAAATTTTCAAATTTTCTTCTTACATAATTTTAAAAACCAGAAAAGAGCTATCATCGACTTACAAGTCCGTACAGTAATTCCTATCCCTATGAAAAATATATATTTTCCGGTTGTCCCGAGTACAATCTTTTTGAGGTTGTGACTATAGCCTTCGTGAAAAATCTATTAAAATTTAAGACTGACTTTTTTAACCACGATGGTTCAAACTGCCGACCTTTTCATTTGTTAGAACGCGGTGTATTGTATCAACCTGACGGTGGTAATGTGTAGCCATGATACAGAAGTAAAGTTCCGTCTCACGTTTTAAGTTAACTAATTACTCAAGCTACGTTCAACGACAGATGTACAGTATGTTTAACAGTTGATCCATGGACAGTTATGTCAATGATGTCAATTAATGGTCATGACCCTTTGAATCAACTGTACAGTGGACCAAACTGTTTAAAAGTATAAACTGATAACTAAAACTTGTAGTAAAGTTAACATCCGGAACGAGGGACCTCTGGTGTACAGAAAAGCGAACTTGTCTCATTGTAGTGTAATTTGTCGATATTAAGCTTAATTTTAGTAATGTGTTAACATTTGGTATTGTTACATGCATTGTAACAACTACAGTTAATTATATGAGTAACTGTTACACGATACATATGTATCGTTATAACATTGTGTTAATCCTTTCTTGTTAGTGGTGCACACAAGTTACAGGACGGTTTCTCCTCGGTACCGAATACACTACCGACCACTGTACATAACCTCTGTTGGGTAAAACTCAATTTTCCCCCCTCAAGACAATCATTGGTATCAACCTGTCTTGAAAACGCCCTGTAGTATATAATTCTGTAAGATTAATAAATAGGCTGATGTTATTGGGTTTTGAAGGTTCTGTTACTTCTTAAATGCATTCTAAAATGCATTGTTTTCGACTGGTGCTATATCAAATTTTGAGTGTTGGAAGGACCTGACGCAGAAAGACTGGTATATTAGAACATAGAAAACGGTTCCTTAGAGTGTTGTTTTTTTCCAAGTACCGTGTGGATTTTGGGGGACGGAACCCAAGTGCGAAGTAGGGGTTTTTGGACGTTGTTGCAAAATACCTACGCACTTTTAAACTATTAACCCCCCGTGAGACAGGAGACTTCTATAACCACTTTTGTCACTAGACAAATATAGAGTTAATTACCCCTATGTGACAGAAGAGAAGAGTTTCTTCTCCCACGGAATCCCCTTGTCCTTCCATGTAGTAGAGGGACCCGACTTAGAGGTACGTCCTTAAAATTAAATTTAGATCTCTGGTTGATAATTTCGTCGCGAACTTTAGGCCCTGATAGGTAACTGTGCTGTCCCTTTAAGTAAGTAATGTATGTAACGAAAATCGACTGCGATTCAGTGCAATTATTCAAAGCAAGCTGGTTGTTCTTATATTTGACTTCTTTTGTCTGAGGTAATTCATGTAGTCCAAAGTTATCTCGATTTTTGTAAAATGTTCACATGTAGTTGACCGAAATCTATTCGGGTCAGGAAATAATCGTATATATTCACTGAAACAATTAATTAAGATAGCGAGTAAGCGACGCATTGTTAAAGCCATTGTAGATTATGATATATATCTGTCCGGTTCGTTTAGAAAAGATAGTTATATTAACATTCACGTTTTCCAATATTCCATATTTCAAAACCTTTAGAATCTAATTTATAATCCCATTTGGTATGGGTTGTCCTTTATTACAAGATCTTAATTTTTATTAGTTACTATTCCCATTTGTGTTTGTTATCGTCCGGTTTCGTTGAAAAAGTAGGTTCTCATAACTCCACGCTTTCCATTCCATTTTTTTGTTTTTTTTGCAAACGTTAGCAATTTATTTTGAGAATCCATTTTTATGGTTGTACTATTTTATTAAAGATCTAATTTTAGTTACTACGGACTAATTTTCCTGGACGGTCGCAACGGTTGAGAGATTTAACTATAAGGTACTTATCACGAGCCACCTGTAAGTTTCGAGAAGGGAGGTAGACTCCAAGTGGATCCGGGCTGACACACTATTGTGGGGCAAAAACTGGACCTTCCTTTTAGTGTCTCCCACCTCCATTTGTATTATTTAAATCCCAATTCTCAAGATTCCGATATACGGCACCAAATCTGTGGTTGCAAATAGTCTATGTATAGCTGCCAGATTATTTTGGTCTAATGATCATTAGTTCAAATAGTCGTGCTCCTTGCAAGGTAGTAGGACCTTCCAGCCCGGCCACTGTGGCTGAAATTTAGACCCCTATTCCGGTTACTTGACAGGTTAATATTCCGATAGTCGTAAGGAGGACACACAGACCAATCGACCTTGTACTCACAGTTTTTGGTTGAAGTGCGTTTGTAAACTGTTTCCAACAGCGAGGTGACGGTTTCACACAGGAATCAACTTACACGTTTACATACGGCTAGTACGGCATGGACAACCGTGTACCCTTTTGTGACTTTACTCAGAAGTAGGACAGAGAGTTTACTGACACCCGTTCCCAAGTTGTGACCGACTTGTTGTACAACGGACATGTTCAGTTACGTTCTTTTTGTGTCCCATACTACTACAAGCGTCACTATTGCTGCTCAGTTTAATTTCTAGGTTACACAAAACTTTC